TTTATTAATCTGACATGTATTGAATAAAGGTCAAACCTGAGAAAAATGCAGTTTTACTTGGGGCTTCATTGACTAACAGGCCTGCTATACCAGGGTGTGATCCACCCATACCTGTCATGATGACATCATGTTTAAGCAAGGTAATGTCTTTTTCATGCTTCCACCACTTTGTTTCTGGCCTGCTCCTTTTCATCTCTGCATCAGAGCCTGTTCTATATTTCTTAATGTCACTCAAATGATAAGTATCCCTTTAAGCCATCTGTGATCATCTGAAGTCATTTCTCCTCATAGATATATAAGGTGGAGATTTTCTTATTCATCAAGTAGTTGTGATGATCTGATGTGAAGATGTAAATTTTGCATCCTCATCCTGGCTGATTGACTGGTTTATTAGCTGTACAGTAAGTAACAAATGTACAAACCTACATCCTTACATAACTCTATCATTAATTGCAGTCCAACAATTGGGCTGGGATTTAAATAAACTAGGCATATGTCTAATGTCATGTTTTCATCCAGTTTCCTGTCCATATATGATTATTATTATTATTATTATTTTATTTTATTATTTTTTTTTTTTAATATTTCCAAGCATTTTAATATGCACTGTGTCAATATAAGAACCTAATCTTTTAACTACAACATACCCATCAGTTACTGTCTGTTTACCATTAACATGCCCAAGAATTATTCAAGTAAGCAATAAAGAATTCAGAAAATATGATAACTATAACTTACATAAACAACATTTGAATTACCGATACAATAATTCAAGCATGTAATGGTGGCTGTAGTCCAAATCTAGCACTGAATATATAATAGCTCACTAAAAAAAGTTACTGTGAACTAAACATAAAAACATGACACACATATCATTATGATGTGTGCTGAAAGATGAAACTAAATGATTCATCCCTTGGACCAATTTTAATAATTTGCGTATAAAAAATTACCTTACTTTAAGATTATTTTGAAATTGCGTTTGCTGTAAGATTCAGTCATACCAAGATATGGTCACAATTTTTACCTGCTAGATCAAGAGTTTGCAACATTGGCTTTTTTCTCACATAATACACTTAATGATGTGTTTTTGCCCTGGTTTTTTTTCAGTCTGTTATAGTTTTGTTCTATGTCCCTACGGAAAACCACTGTCCCCACTCTGACCCCCCTTGTAAATTTTGTCTAGAATCTTCACTGCATATAAATTATGTTATTTGATTTAAATAAGTAATTTTTTATAGCATCATAGAACTTATATTTTGTGGTGATTAAGCTCTTCCTTTCTCACGTAAAGAACTCATTCCCCTTTTATGTTGTGCTGCTGTGTTGCTAATGTGCATGCTGTCCCTATTTAATTTATAAAACAGAAATAAATAATTTGGCAAGAAGTAAGGCATTCCATAGACAGAGTAGCGTTAAAGGGTGTTTGATTAAAGACTGCATTGTTTTCAAGTCTTTTATGCAATTTACCCACCATGATTGATAAAGACATCAGGAAGAGTTAAAGTAAGCTGAGGGACTTGAGGCCTGAGAAGTTGGCAACCTCCAAGAATTTCTCTCCAAAGTTCCTCAGCTGTTTGTGATTCTTTCTGTAATAATGAGATGCCAACAAAGTGTGTTGTTCAGCAAATATCCGACAGCTGTGTCCGTGTATCTTCCCAGCTCCCCCTGAGCAAACAACTGCTGGACTGACCAGCCAGATGCTCTCTGCTGGTGGTCAGCACTTTAGTATCTTCAAAGCCTTAATCCTTAAATTTCCACCTTCTGTCCTGCACCTTTCTGAGAGCAGCCATGCCCACATTGAAGCAGGTGCGTTAAAAGGGCTGCAGAGATATGAAAATTTATGTCCACACCTGCATTTTTAAAGGCTTTTTTTCTTAAAAAAAAAATAAAATAAAAAGTTCACAAAGAAATTTGAAAGCTGTGTTCTGCATCCTTTTTGTTTTTTGGAAACGTCACTCTGAGGTTGGTGTTAGAGTTGATTCTGCTAAAGCAGGTTCTTGTTCAGTGACATTAAATTCATATAATTCATATCAGGTAAACACCCTTCAGATATAAAATCGTAAGACAGGAGAGATCGATGGCTTTAAAAGCAAGTGCGAACTCATAGAGATTTTAAGTAATGTTAAGAGCTTTGCCTGGACTTCTACCTGTGTAACTATCTCCTCTCAAGGAAGAGTATATCGGTGCTAATGAATGGTGGGTTTTGTATGTGTGTGGTAATAATGTGCGTCTGGCATGATTGACAGTTGCCTTGCCATGTTTCCTTCAGCCAGGGCCTCCCTTTTTACAGAATACTGTGTCAATGTGTCTGCTGCACTCACCCATACACATACACACTCACAGCACACTCTATGCTTTTGCAGACACACAAAAGGAGAAAAGCCCACCGTGGCTCTTCCATCAGACAGCACTGCAAAAAACACATACATAAAACTGAACTTGCCAGTGTGTGCGCTCTCATGCATATGGAAGTGTTGGCATGTACGTGTAATATGCATTTGTGTGAACATGGAATTGTGCATAATCATATGTGAATGTGTGTGTTTGTAACTGGACAGCTTTGCTACAAAAAACACATTAGCATTCAGTGATGGTTCAGGCCTTTCTAAAAGCTCCCATGGTGCTGCTGGGCTTCTCCTCCTTTCTCCATTTTCTAAAACATGCTATCACATTCACCATCCTCGGTGGATGGGTTTATAATTAAAAGTGCTGCATGTTCTAATATGAGCAGTGTGGCTGTGATTTAGATTGTGCAGCCAAGATTGAGCAGATAAGGCAAAAGAGGCTATTTGCGTTACTTCTAATCCTTTTTACACTGAGAGAACTGATCTTCTCTCCGCCAGTTTCTCTGTCATCTTCGTCCTCTTTTTTTGGTTTGCACATCTTCCTTTGCAACTCTTAACAACATTTTTTTTTATGTAACTCAGAGCTGCAGTCTCGTCTTTGCTTCAGTGTTTTTTTGCACTGCATTCCCCATGGTCGCCTATTATTAACATTGACCCTGGATGTTTTGAGGTAGATCTTGTTCCTTCACAAAACCTAATGCTGAGCGGACTGTGTCAGTTTGGTGAATTTAACCCTGCCGTTTAAACTCATGTAGGTGGAAATATGTTGAGTTTTTGGAAAAAAATAAAACTCAATGTTTGTGAATATGTGCTCTTTGATAAGTGCTGCTTGCATGATGTATGTTTTTGGGGAAATATCAGAATAACTCAATAATATTAGGTGTGCAATTCGTAATGCGGTTATATAAAACCATTTTTAAAGCAAACTATTGGATTTTTTTTTCATGAACAATTTTAACAACTTTGTTTGTAACTGGGTTTATGGGCACAAATAATAGATAACATCAGATTAGATTAACAAAGTTCTTGATTAAGGAGGATTGGTTGCTTCCTTTTAAAAGTTTTGGCACCTTTTACACATTTGAATATATCATTTATTTCTTCTTTTTCAAATAGCTCAGATAATTTTCTTCTAATAGGTTAGCTGACATATAATTACTTTGCGCAGATATCTGCACACCTATGAGACAGATCTAAAGGATCTAAAGGATGTGAGGTCTCTTTTTTTCAACATTGTACCAATGTGTTAGATAAATGATTTAATGCTCTGGGATAGTCTTCATAGGGGGAACTGACTACATGTGTACCTGTGATCTATTTTTGAAATAGAATTCTTCACTCCACTCTGTTCATCTTTCCCTTCCTCCATTATTTGGGCCTTTATCCATTCTCCCTCCCTCTCCCCCTTTCCAGCTATTCATCTCTCCTCATCCCTTCACCCGGTGCCCCTATCTTCTCCTGCTGCCCTCCAGCCTCCATCCCTGTGACAGACAGGGTGTCCTCACCTCGTAACGATCAGTGACATCCAATATGTTTGGCTTGGGATCATCCCCTGTGTGTGCATTGTGCTTCTGTTAAATGCTTTATTGATTAGCCTTGAGTTAATTACGAATTACATCAACAGAGGCCGGACTAAGGTGGCTCTTACATGGCTGCAGATCCATCCTGTAGAGGCTGATAGAAGAACACACGTTTATGCGTGCATCCCGACCTCAGCAGGTTACATTAGTCATACTCATTTTCCCCATTAGCATCCATGCATTTGTGACATTTCACACTGCCTTATCAGTGCTTTGAGGAAGTGCAATATATTCCTGGTGACTCAGGGGAGAGGAACGGAATTAGAAACAGGAGGTTTTTGCAAGAGTCCCAAGAAATGTAGCCTTAATGCTTAGGTGCACAACTTGACACACTCTATGCAAAATTATTAGACTGTTCTAAATCCATAGCAGACCAGGCTAATGTATTCTGGATTTAAGCTCCATTGTAAAATCCATAACACATGCCTACACCTCACCTTCTCCCCCATAAAACTCCAAAGCAACCCATCACGAATGTTTTTTGCACAAAACAGAAAGTTAATAATAATAATAATAATAATAATAATAATAATAATAATAATAATAATAATAATAATAATAATGTTGAATTTCCAGTAGCAGGCACCTTTAAATCTTCTTTCCCCTTTTCATCCCGTGTCACTTTCTCTTTGACATTGCCGTTTACTTTGCAAAAAGAAAAAAGGAGCGAAAAAAAATCTTTATCAAATCCCCATTCTGAGGCTTTCAATAAGGCAGGCCATTACCTCACTGGCGCTTTTGTTCGGCCTATACAAGAGAGAACAAAATGGTTATTCAGGAGGACGCTTTAGATTTTTATTGTGGGCTCGCTATTCACAAAGAGCACCGTTATTGTATTAAAAAGAACCATCTGTGGCAGAAACAATGGCTTCAAATTATCTGTGAATACCCAGTGAACAAAATATAAAGCTTTTTCCTGCTCATTATGTGGGCTAAGCTAGGGGGTGGAAGATAGGAGAGGCACAGACTTTGCTATAACTGACTTTTGTTGTTCTTGCTTGCATTCTTCTCCTTTTTAAATCGGCCCCCTTTTCACATTGTGTGTCGCCATAAACGGCTTTTCTTGTTGCAGGGCTTGCGGAGAGAAGACAAGCGGAGCTCCAGACAGAGAGCGGCGCTGCGCGGCACCGCGCTCCGACCTACAGCAGCCAGGCGCTGGGATCCGGACCGCGCGCCATGGCTCCCCGGGCTTATGGAAGGTGGCGACATGAGGAATGGATGCGGGATGAGAGCCGGGAGATTGAGGCGCTGCAGTCGGACTCACTGGAAGCGGCATGAAGATTTGGAGGAAGTTGAGTGAAATGCCATCGTGTTTAATTTCTGCCAATCAAGAGAAGAGGAAGACAACTCCCAAAGTGTCAGTAAGTTGCAGTGCGATGGAGAGGAAAAGCCCTGAGCGCGTGGGTCTGTGCGTCCGTGTGTATGTAGGTGTGGGTTAGAGTCGGTGTGTGTGTGTGTGTGTTAAACATGTAGTGTTGTGGAATGACACCGCATGGCTTTAGGAACTCTGATGGTGTTTGTTTTTCAATGTTTTTGGCCACTTTGGGCTCTGAGCGCACAGACAGTTTAAGATAATAAAACACAAACCATCTGGTTTATAGATTCGATTTCTTTCAAACGACACTTGCAATATACATATCGCAATTATCTTTTCATTTTCCGCTTTAAGTAAATAATAACAAAAATAACATATTTGGACAAAGCCGGCTTCACTTGTATACCTTTTTTTTGTTGAGTTTATTTTATTTAATTTTAGGTTCAAATTTAGCTATCATTTTTACACTTGCAGTTTTTATCTTTGATTAAATCTGTTAATAATTTTAATAAAAGTTTATCATCAGTAAAAATTGAATAAAAGCCTATTTAGCTTTCGGTTTAGCGGATGTTGTGTTCAATCTGAAATCACTTTTCTAAATATCATGCAGTGGTTTTATTTAAACTGTATGTTTTTATTTGTTGGCATATTAAATATCAAGACGGTTTAATGTTTTCATAAGGATTAGTTTTAGATCTCCAGCCGGTGGCACGGCCCCTAGTGGCTGCAAAGACGTTATTATAAATTTGGCCGTAATATCCTCCACCTTTGGCTTATTACTAAAAAAAATAATGCAAACGTTTTTTGGCATTTACTTAATCATATTTAGTTACTTTAACATAATTGTTTCATGTTAGCAGGGTAGGACATAAAGTAATTGTGTTAAAGTAACTAAATATGATAAGTAAATGCCAAAAGCAGTTGCATTATTTTTTTTTTTCAGTGAAGAATCTCATGGGCTACTGTTTTTTTTTTTTTTTACAATTATGTTGGCTTATCTCTACTATTTATGCTTTATTCTTAATAACTTATCCCCTTTTCACTGCAACAAGTTAAAAAGTTTTATTTCTACAAGGTGAATTCTGCTAAATGTTTGAATGGATTGTGATTTAATATTGTGCAAGTCTCTGCGTAATTTATAGAGGTTATAACCTATATTTCTAAAACAAAAAAACAACAACGGTATTTAGGTATCACAGCACGCCGCTTGTTGTATATTTGCAGGATCTATCCCATCCTTGTTTAGCGGGGGGTCTTTCCAAGAGGTCGGAGGGAGCCGCCCTGCTAGTTTCCCCTGTTTTTTTCAAGCAGCGGCTTTAATTCGGGATGATTGTGGATGCAGGGGCCATTCTCGCGGCTGGCTAGGGGCCTTGCTTTCAGAGAGCACCGGGGCCCTGCTGTTCCTTTATTATCATAAGCAGATTAGAGGTAGCGGGGAACACACTCAGATGCAGATAGCAGCGGAGCGGCCCATTTCAACCTTGCATCATAATGGACCGAGCTGCATGTGTCGCCCCTCGCAGCCTATTAAGCGCAAGATGAATCTTATGTAAGGTGGCCGGGGCCGGCATAATGAGAGCACTGGGGGCCCCGCTCCTCCATTTATTATCAAATGACTAAAACAAAATAATAAGGCTTGATCTCTTCGCTTTCAATTATGATTTAATCTGGAGGCTCGTGTTCAAATTACATTTTTTCAGGTGTACTTGATCTATCTTTAATTATGTTGGTTGTCTGATTTTGCTGCAGGCAAATAGCAGATGTTGCAGGTATGATTGTGGTTGAAAACAAACTTTCCTATTTATAGGATAAATATATTTTTTTGCGAGGTGTTTAAGTATTTCATTTGTTCTGAAGTGAACTTAAAAGCAGGGATTTTCTGGTAGTTTTTCCAGTTGCTTGGAGTTGAGAGTTTCTCCACTAGGCGGCGCTTGTGTCACGCAGCACAGCACGGGTGTCTGAACTGGAGCATAAAAAAAAAAAAGGCACGCATCCTGCTTCTAAAAAACTTTTACTCTGATCCATGGGTGGGTGGCTTTAACTTTACTGTGCGGTAGTTTGGGTCGGTTCACTCTGTTCTGTTTGATCCAGAATTCTTTCTGAAGTTATGCTTTGGATTTTATTTTATATTTACTCCAGCTGACTCAACCTGCTGGAGCTAAAATCCATATTGATAAAAATCAACTTTATATTCAGATATTTTTCATCTTTATTTCTTCATTTTTTTTAGTTACATGGTCCTGGGGCCCCCACATCCCACCCAAACACTCGCACAACAACAACAGCAGCATTAGTGGAAGTGGAGTGGAGTTGGGTCTTTGTCCGGACAGATGTAATGACAACATCCCAAACAAAACAAAAAAAGCGCTTATTTGTGTTGAGATGAGTCCGTCTGCCTTCTGTGTGTTGGCATTCAACTTGGCTAAACAAAAGGAGCAGTGGGGAAACATCTTGGATTACCTTTCCTCTTTTCAACGCTAAAAACCAGCCGTAGCTTCACCCCCCTTCACCTCCATTCACGCACACATACAAACACACAGCGTGGCCATTCAGCTCTTTGAGTTAACCAACAAAGTTTATTTAAGTGTTGTTGGGTTATCGGCCTGGAAATTGGGGCGGGGGTGGGATTAGTAACTTTTCTTTTTTTATTATTTGGAACAACAGGACTGACACGAGCCTTAAACAATATAATATATATATGAATACAATCTTAATCATTAAAAAATAAATAAAATCGGGCGTATATTTTCTCATTTATACCATGTTTGCATATGTTTTGATTTTTTTTTTTTACTCCAAAATGATGTCGTTTTTAAATACATCTTTTGTAAACTTTTGCATTTATTTATTTAGAATAGTGAAATAATAATCATAAACTATTGCTTTGCATCTATAAAATAAAAAGACAACAGTTGAAAATAGTAAACATGCACTTTATGTTGGCTCATATGAGCAGCCTGAGTGAGTGCTTGCCTGTTCGCTCCGGGGAAGATAGACACCGCCCATTTATGCTAATTAAGGTCTCTCATTGGCGCGTCGTGGGGAACGCGTGCTCTGATTGGCCAGGTCGAAGCCATTTATTCTGTGACAGCCCCGTCACATGAATGGTTGTCTATTAACTTGTTCAAAAACTATCTGGGAGTTGTCAAGGCTCAGGCGGACAGAGCAGCGAAAAAGTGCAGTTTGTTGATGCTTTTTCCAAGAAGCAGGAGAAGTTTTGTGGACACAACATAGCAGGAACCTTTTGGGAAAAGCCTCAGTGTCACACACACTCACGCTCTGACTGTGACACACACTCTCTGCGGGGAAAGGGAGAAAGAAGGGAGAGTGAGTGGAGAAGCGACTTGATGCTTGTTTTGATCCAGAGAAAAGTTGCTGAGAAGACCGACAGGTAACTTTTTCCTGCGCTCCTCTGTCGGCATCCAGCTGGTGGAGTTTGTCCTTATTTTTTTATTATTATTTTTTATTCATCGGCTCGGAAGCTCCAACTCAAAGCTGTTCCTCATGTATAACATGATGGAGACTGAACTGAAGCCCCCTGCTCCCCAGACCAACACGGGGGGCACGGGCAACACCAACACCTCCGGGAACGGCCCGAACCAGAAAAACAGCCCGGAGCGCGTGAAGAGACCAATGAACGCGTTCATGGTGTGGTCCCGGGGCCAGAGGAGGAAGATGGCGCAAGAAAACCCCAAAATGCACAACTCCGAAATCAGCAAGAGGCTGGGCGCTGAGTGGAAACTTCTGTCGGAGAGCGAGAAGAGACCCTTCATCGATGAAGCCAAGCGGCTGAGGGCCCTGCACATGAAGGAGCATCCGGATTACAAATACCGGCCCCGACGGAAAACCAAGACCCTCATGAAGAAGGACAAGTACACCTTACCCGGCGGGCTGCTGGCCCCTGGAGGAAATGGGATGGGGGCTGGAGTCGGTGTGGGAGTGGGGGGCGGACTGGGCAGCGGAGTGAACCAGCGGATGGACAGCTATGCGGCGCACATGAACGGCTGGACCAACGGGGGTTACGGGATGATGCAGGACCAGCTGAGCTACCAGCACCCGGGTCTGAACGCTCACAACCCGAGCCAGATGCAGTCCATGCACCGCTACGACATGAGCGCCCTGCAGTACAACTCCATGACGAGTTCCCAGAGCTACATGAACGGCTCCCCGACTTACTCCATGTCATACTCCCAGCAAACCACGCCGGGGCTGACAGCCCTGGGCTCCATGGGGCCCTCCTCGGTGGTTAAGTCTGAGTCCAGCAGCTCCAGTCCGCCCGTCGTCACCTCGTCGTCCCACCGGGCCGCCCCGGGCTGCCAAAGCGGCGATCTGAGGGACATGATCAGCATGTACCTGCCTGGGGCCGAAGTAAGCGATCAGACCGCCCAGACCAGGCTACACATGTCCGGGCACTACCAGAGCACCGTGCCCGGGACGACGATCAACGGCACGCTGCCCTTAACGCACATGTAAGAGACTCCAAACAGAGTAAGAGAAGAAAAATAAACTTTTATAAGAGAAACTCTGGACTACTTAACGTTGGACTATTTTTGTACAGAAAAATTTCGGGGTGGGAAAAGTTGTATAGAAGTCTCCAAGAAAAAGGAAACCACTCTTTTTTTTATTTTCTCTTTCATTTAATAAGGAAGCTCTAGAGGAACGGTAGGAGATGCCCCTCTTCACTGCTGGGTGAAGTTTGAAAATCTAGAAAGTGGGAGTCGCAATCAAATGTTTTATTATTGCAATCACCTTTTGTACAGTATTTATCAAAGAAACATTACAATCAGATGAAATTGTTAAACTGGAAGAGGTTGCATCTTTCTTTTTCCTTTTATATAAAGCAGCGCCAGTTCTGCAGAAAATATAAAAGTTAAAAATGGCAGAACTGGGATTATATGCTCCTTAATTACTGCAAACATTGGAGAGAAAAGGGACATGAGAAGCAGGTAATACTGTTTTTTTTCTTGCTTAAGGTCAATATTACTAAACATTTTATTTTTCATTTTCTTTTACAAAAATATGACACTTTTTTCCCTGTCATACAATATAGGTTGTTAATTTATATTTCAGTCTCCCACTTTTCATCTGTTAGAGATATGACGCTTGTGCTCTTTATTTTCTAATTGATTTGTACAGTTTCTGTGTATTTACTGTGACATTTTAAGTTTTTATTTCAAAATCCATTCCCGTAGTTGTATTTTTTAAAAGATTGTGGCCTCTACGCAGAAGCCAACCACTCCATGTATATATTACCAGAACTAATACCATCCTTATAACAGTTACAATTTCAGCTGAGTATATATATTTTTTTTCAATATGCAGTTTGAAAATGAATAAATTTTGGAAATTTGGATACTTGAAATTGTATGAGTTTTAATTTTGTTTCGTTCGTTTTGTGTTGCCAGGCTTTCCTCAGGGGCTGAGTTGTCATCTTTGAATTTCTTAATTTTTATTGAATCTTTTATTTTACAGAAATATGCTGATGACCTTTTTGCAGCCTGATAAAAGAAAAATTGTTGTTCTCAGAGGGATGACACATGAAAAGGGCTTCAAGCACAACTATTTCAGCTTGTCCACTGATTTTTTTTTTATTTATTATTATTTACCTGTGCGTTTGGCCTCTTTCCTAAAAAAAGTATAGTTTTATTTCTCCATTTTTCAGTTTTCTTATTTAAGCCAAATCTATATTTTTCAGTTTTTAGGCTACATTTAATTCTTTTTCATATTCTAAATTCCTGTAAACTTATATTTAATGTATTTCTTTTATTTATATTCAGCAGCATTTGTTGTTATTCTTAAATGAGAAATCAGAGCTTATTTTGCAGGCCTCACTTTGTGCAGCATTCATGCTCCTTATTTACGCTCTGAATCCCAGAGTTGTCCTAACAGGATAAAAAATCAAATTAGTGGTAAATTGTAGGGGAGCCCCCCCCTTGAAAGGCAAAAAAAGTCGCTTTCTTATAAGCGTTGTAATAGCTCCACGCAGATTCCCGAGTGTGGCCATTTTAATTTAATGTTTAATCAAACTGCTCCTGCTGTTTCTTTAACCCTGATCTTTCTAGTGACTGTCACCGGGCACCAACACCGTCCTGTCTTTAATAAGGAAGGGGTGGTGTGTGTGAGTTTGGGGGTAGGAGGGGGGATTTTTCTTTTTTTTTTGTCAAACAGACTGATTCCCCACCATCTCACACCAATAATAATAATCCTTATGATGAGCTAACTGCTCTCCTTGAATTAAACTAACGGTTTTAAATCTGGTGGGTGTGCATCAGCCGGTGTGCGCGCGCTGTGATGTATATTAGAGCCGTTGTGTCTTTGCAGGCTTGGTCCCCGGGGAGCAGCAGATGAATATTTCAAGAGGGGCCACTCGGTATTTATCCATCTCCTTCTCTGTCTCTCAGGCGGACTTTCAGGAGGTCAGGGGATCGTTGCTTGGCCCATTAATTATTGATCCGAACAGCGGAATTGCTTGTAATAGTCGAGAAGGCCGCTGATAAACAATTTGTTTCTAAAAGGTCGCAGTGGACGCGTTACATTCCCCACATGTCTCTCTTTTTTTTTTCTTTATTGCGTTTTATTTCCATGAACGCATGGGCCCTTGAAGGCCCGGAGGCCTCGCAAAATTAATATCCCCCCCTTCTCTATATCAGGTCTGTAGCTTTGATGTGTGACGAAAAAAGAAAAAAAAATGTTGAACGCATGCACGGAGCTCTTGATGTGGCTCACCTATTTGATGATCGCCGTGTTTTTCCCAAAGCTGATTCAACGTGTTGGTACCGCAGAAAGAGAAAGCTCCTAAAAGTGGAAGCAAACTAAGAGCCAAAATGTTTAAAGCTTGAATAAAAATATTTTCTCTGTGCTGCTCATTGCAGTTAACTCATTATTGTAAAATATATATATATATATATATATATATATATATTGACAAAAAATTATGAAAATAAGAGGCAAAAACATTGCATATTTTCACATTTAGTCTCCATTAAAGAAAAAACAAAAAGGTTTCCATGGATTAAGTTACGCAATAAATAGAGGTGCTTCATAGCTTGCTCAAACACAGGTGACGCACTAAACCAATAGTCTAAAATGTTACACAGAGAGATCAGATGGAAGGAGCTCAGTGGATCCCAGAATAAAACAAAATAGAAACATAAAATTTGGCAAGCTTGGCCGTGAGTGTCGAAATAAAATATGGAGGCAGATGAACATAGTTTGACGGGTTGCAGTCATCCATCCATCCATCCATCCATCCATCCATCCATCCATCCATCCATCCATCCATCC